TTTGAACCCGCGACCCGAAGATTACGAATCGAGTGCCCTAACCACCTGGCCATGCCGAGCCGCAAATTATGAATCCTCTGATTCACAGTCCAGAAACGCGTATCTAAGTCACGTCCGGCTTTCCAGTAAAAAGGAATAATTGCTTAAAATTTTCACAAGTTGAATAAATTGTATGCAAAAACATTAATAACGAAATTTAATTTCAGACTGAATCAGTCACACGGAATAGGTACTATTCGTGTAAGATAATTCATTTCGTCATCCATGATCAAAGTAATATAGCCTTTGTATATCACTCACTCAATCATAGTGCCCTCCTCAGTTCTGATGATCGACGATTAAGGTTTTCCATTGTTCTCTATTCCTCATTGTTTACACCAACTTTCCAAATTCAAGCTTTTAATTTCCTGTCCATTTTCTGGTGTGATTCAGCTAAATGAGTTTTTTTTTTCTTGCCTCTCGTTATTTTTGCCTTTTTACCTTTTTCAACATGGACACATGGTTAGGGCGCTTGATTCGCAATCTGAGGGTCGCAGGTTCGAATTCCCGTCCCACCAAACGTGCTTGCCCTTTCAGCCGTGGGGGCATTATAATGTGACGGTCAATCCCACTATTCGTTGGTAAAAGAGTAACCCAAGAGTTGGTGGTTGGTTGTGATGACTAGCTACTTTCCCTCTTGTCTTTCATTGCTAAATTAGGGACGGCTAGCGCAGATAGCTCTCGTATGGTTTTGCGCGAAATTCAAAAACAAACCAAACAAACAAATACCTGTCAGACTTCCGTCAAATCTGACTTTATGCTCAATGTAGCACATCTTATCGTTTCTTCTATGTCCAACAGTTGTCTGTTATCCTTGATATACAGAGTAACAAAACATGGTGAGAATGCACATGAGAAACAAACATAGAAAATACACAATATATATATACATTTGCTATTTTAACTTTAACAGTAAGCAGTTGTTTTATATCTAATCAATATAAGTCAATTTGTACGTGGATGCTGAGCTAGAATAATAATTACAGCAAAAATAGTTGATGAAACTTTGACGAATTACCTTAAACTATTCGCGTTTTATTCTGATACCTCAAGAAACTATTCTCTTTACCGTCATATATTCTGAGCTCAAACACTAAACTCTTGTATTATGTTTGATATAGCTTTTGTCTAACTATGCAAGTTACTGTACTTACACCTGAAATGAACAAACTTTTATTATAGAGCATGCAAAGTTTTTAAGCATTTTTTTCTCCAATATGTAAATATATCTATCATTTTGTAATTTCTTTTGCAGCTAGACAGAGAGATAGAGCGACTGCAAGATATGATAGAGAGTGTGACTACATCAGAACCATCTGGTGTTGAATATGATAACTCACTTAAGGATGTTTTCTACACAAACGTTCAGGTAATAAATTGCACTGATAGAAAAATGCTTTGTTTTCTTTTTATAATTTAGGGAAAGTCTATTGTGTATCCAATCAATGTCTATATTATGATTTAAAGTAGCTGAGATCACGTAATGTAGAAATATCTAACAGTTTTGAAGTTAGTTAGTTGAGTTTTAAATATAGATTATTTTGGTATCTCCTGAAGAAGATCGGGAAGAGAAACGCTGAAATAATTAAAACACACCAACTATTCTGTATTCTCTAATTTTGGAAATAACACTTTTCAAAATCTGTGATATGATTTGGAGTTATAAGTGGTATTTATTTTCTTTGGTTTTATCTTTAGTCTTGCTTACTTTAGTTTACACGTTAATGGACATAAGTTTGATAACACCATGTCAATCGAGTCTCTGACCAAAAGTTTTATATAATTTACACATGTAATTGTTGTTACTTTTATACACCAAATATCATGTAACTCGACTCTTTAATACCAGTAATAAACGGCCTTATAACACCAAAACTTGTTATTTTTCTTCTCTAGTTAGACACTCAATGCTTCGCTTTATAGATTCTTTCAGGAGTGTTCATCTAAAACACAAACCGTAACAGTTACAGAAGCTGTGAAGCGAAACGTTGAGTGTCCAACTAAAGAAGGAAAGTAAATTTTGGTGTTATAAGATCGTTTATTACTCGTATAAAAAATATATTTTATACTCCAATATGCACTACAAAAATTCAATGAACTGACTCTGACTAATAAAGTAACCTCAATGACCTTAGGCCTGATAAGATTTACACATGTAGTTTACGTTAGTATTATAGACAACACACCATGTAAATCAAGTGTATACGATATTTGGGTATAATGTTAGTTTTACCCACTTACTACCTCGTTTATATATAAACATCGTGGAAGAAAACTTGAAATATTTCTGATGTCGACATGAGATCACGATACAGCAGACAAGAAATAGAAGCATGGAAAACATGAATTTAGCCTTCTGAAATAACATAGGCGAAGATATATAGATGAAAGGGGTTGTTCGCTCCGTTTTCTGAACCATTTTTGATGCGAAAAAGTACATGATCCAACAACTACGTACTTGGCAAAACGTCCGAAATTGTGGACCACAAGTTTATCTTATCCTTTTTGACTTACACCATGAAATTTTGTGCTGATCACGAATAACAACTGGATTATATTGATGTACACTGAATGACAGATGTGTGTGTGTATATATATATATATAAATGCGTTTCATATTCTTTCATACTAACTGAGTTGTGTGAACCGATAGAAAGAAACTGGAGCTCAAGAAGACATTTTCGAATAATTCGCAAAATTCGATTTTTTTATGAAATTGTACTTTCACTGGAAAAAGTTTAGTTTCATAGAAGTTTGAAATACTTTCGAAGGAAACTACATTTGATTCCATTACTGGAGTAAAGAGGAACATTCTATTCCTTAACACATTGATGTGTGTAGTTTAGAAAATGATGAATGGCTAGGGAATCTTCAATTAAAAGGAAAAAAAAGGTTTACAGGAAGATGATTTGCCATGATGATTCACATGTATTTTGCGAGTTCTACGTTTTTCACTTTTCATTAATACTGTATACTAATCAGACTGAATGTTTTGCTCATTAAACGTATAACTTGAATAAGCCTTTTATGTAAAGAAAAAGCATTTTTCTAACGTTTTTAAGAATAATGATATTTCAGTCGTAATATTTCTAGTTCTTTCAGCCTGACATCAACAAGCACACGTCAGCTAATAGAAATTTCAACTTGGAATTAATGCTAATAATGAGAAACGAAATTTTACTCTTTAGCTATGAAAAATTTTAAATTAAGATTGAGGTTAGTAATTATAAAAACAAATCACACGTCAGCTAAGAAACGCTTCAACTTGGAATTAATGCTAATAATGAGAAACGAAATTTTACTCTTTAGCTATGAAAAATTCTAAATTAAGATTGAGGTTAGTAATTATAAAAACAAATCACACGT